TATTTTATGTAATATTTAATAATTTTAAATTTTAAATCTTTGTAATTCTTTTTTTTTTTATTTTTGAGACTACAACTTCATTTGTAACAAAAAATATACATAATAATTTGCTTATGCAATTAAATTTTTGAGAGCGAAAATTACGGCATTCTATTAATTAATTTATATTGAATGCATATGTTAAATAGATTTGTTATATTAAATACCATAAATAAAAAAAGTTTAAATAGTAAAAAAAAATTAAATTCCATAAAAGAAAGTGTAGATTATATTAGACATCAAAATCATAACAAAATATCGATACATATTGTAAATGATTTTAGATTTGAAAATTAAATATATATATATATATATATATTTTGAAACAGAAGAAATATGATTAAATTGATACTCAAGTAAGATTCTAGCTTATCAGGTTTGGTGGATATGTATGAACTCATCAATTTGTAAGTACAATTCAGCTTTAAAAAAAAAATTCAGAGCGTGTGTTCTCAATAGTTCCTATATCATTGTCCAAAGCACATGGTAGCTGGCCAACGTGAATCTAAAGTTCTTTTTTCCCCTTTGCGATAAAACCCATAACGATGATTCAGTTCAAAGTGCCTTAGACATTATCCGAAACCCAAAAAAAATTCTATAAGAAAAATAAATAGGAATCATTATCTTATTTATCATTAGTGAGGTTTTAAATTTTATATATGAATATTGTCTAATATATCATTGGTGAAAGTGGAATTAGATGGACATATTTTTTTAATTCTGTTGTATAGAATTTAAGAACTTTATGTTCCATAAAAGAATTTAAAAATTGAAAAATAATTTAAACCATAATATTTGATTCGATTTATATCAATTTTTAATATTTGATTTAATTTGATTTCAATTCAGATATCATCAATTGTCAGTTCATGAAATGAAAAATAAAAAATATTTGAGTCAAGTAGAATTATAATTTTTTATTAGTTTTTATATAATTTTAATTTTTTATAAAATAAAATAATTTTAATATATAAATCTATGTAAATACATTAAAAGTAATAGTAAAAATATTTATTTTTTAAATAAAAAATCAAATTGATAAAATTTAATTCAAATTAATTCAATTACAAATATATTTAATTTGATTTTGCTTCGATTTTGAAACCCCAAAATATTGTATCGTAGCTGTAATTTTTTTTCTAAAATAATCTAACTGCACCGAATATACATATACACATAAGGAAGTACAAAGGCTAGCAAGCAAGAAGAGTTCATTGAATTGATAAGATGAATATTTCTTTTATAAAATCTAGGTTCGTATCCTGCTGCCAACATTTTTTTTCTTCTCAAAGGAAACATGCATGCTCACCTATGGACTCCCACCTAGCAACTATGACCCTTTTTTATTATAGAGATTCTAGCTAGAACAACTTGCATACTAAGAACCCTAGACATAAAAAACTTGAAGAACAAAGCCTCTTTAATTTCAAACTCACTCTCTTTATTGTTGCCCAAGTTTCAAAACTAATAGAAAGACTAACACTGTCCCAAAATCGACTCTTAAAATATTTGATTAAAACATTGGCTTTAAAAAATTGTACTTGATTAAAGGTAATCAGAATTGTAGTGGGGATGAATTTGAAACATTTAATTCATGTCGAATTTTAACTATTCCCCCCTATAAGAAAACATGATACTACTTGCCAATAACAAAAACTGTAGCCATGTGATACAATATAAAAGCACAGTTTCCATTGTCAAACAAACACTATTGATCTTTAGCTAGGCTATATATAAATAAGCCAAAAATCAACCTTGAACGAGTTTGTTTATGAATTTTTTATAGAGCTCGAGTTGTATAATTTTGACCCTAATTTATTTAAAAATTCAATTATAGTAACAGTGAAACATTCGATTCAAAGTTAAATACATGTTATCTATTGAAAGAGTGAATTTGAACCCTCCTCCATCAAAATAAATACATAAAGAATTCAATTTTTTTGGTAAAGACAAACGATAATAACAGCTTAAGCTACACAAGCATCTAGGCCTTGCTTTACCCGTGATATCTTTCTGCAAATATTTAACTCAAGAAGTAAAGGTGGTGAAAGAAGTTTAAAATAAATCAAAAGAGAAATAATTGGAGTAGAGTTGTAGTTCAGATAAAATATAACTGCTCCAATTAAGCATATAAATTAACTTGTGTTCAATAATTGCTATTAAGCTTGTTTTGTAAATGAGCTAAACTCAAGCACTTAGGATAGGAGACTAGAGTCTTTTTAATTACTTTAAGGGCTCAACAGGGGAAATATTGTGATTGGGATCAAGAGTACTCAATTATTATATGGTTAATTAGAACTTGATTTTGAAGATTTCAAATTCAAATCTCTTAGATAAGATAAAAATGATAAGATTTATAAAATAAAATAAGTTCATATTTAATTACGAAATCAAAGATCCGACAAGTTATGTATACAGATAAAAACACGCTAAAAATATCAAACCTAATTAATAATATTATAATTTTTTGTAAAAAATATTTGCATTCGTCATTAAATTAAATATTCAAATGCAAAATTATTCACTTTTAAAAAGAGATTATTATCAACTATTAATATGATTACGATTTTCTCCAAATATGAAGGGAAGGCTTGGTGTTTGATTAGATAGCGAAGTCGTGACTCATGATGCTATGCATTGCATTATTCTAGTCTATCAAGTTGGCTTACAAGTTTTTTCTTTTTTTGACGAAGATTGAAGTGAATATGTTTGCGGATTGTTGTCGGAAATACAATGTAAAAAGGAAACGAGAAATATATACAAGGATATAGATTGATGGAAAAAAGATGTCGGGGTGTCTATCAGATGGAATATTGTAAAGTAAATTACATTGTATCTTCATGATTTTTATGCAATAGTTATTGTTCATATGTAATTTTTAAAATTAATTTAAGTTTTTGAGTTAATAATCTCTTAAAATTGTTAAAATGATATTATCATATATCTAATAAATATCTAATTTTTTTTAATTTTATATAATATTTAACATGAATTAAAATTTTTTTCTTATTATTCTTTTCAAATTTATCATGTGATAAATTTTTTTTTTATTTTCGTTTACCTTAGTGTCATATTGATGCTTTACATGTTCATGTAACAAAAATAGATGGCCCCGAGCACTTGCTCCCACATGATAAAAAAAATGCAAGCTTGTTTAATTTTTTGGGCTAAATTCATGTTATATGACACTAATATGATATATTTTATTTTTTAACAATTATAAATGGAATGGAAATATTTAAAATATTTTTAGAAGGTAGTGAATAAAAAATTGGGTTTTATAAAAAATTAGAATGAAAATAAAATAACATACAAGCATCACATATGATTGATGATTTTAGCCAATATTATATAAATTATATATCAAAGAAATAAATTGAAAAAAAAAAAAAGAAAGCTTGAGAACACCAAATTTGAAAGGATTAAGAGTCAATGATACACTAGTAAACCATAAGTCAATACATGAATGTTCTTTAAGAAAGAATATGAAACACTTCCTTTTTTAGTCAAAATCTATGGGACATTGAATTTGCTATTTCACCCTTGACCCTTCACCCATTTTACATGGTAAGAAAATGCTATAAATCTATAATTAACTTTAGGACATAGAGACTTAGAAATCAAGGGTTTCCTTCCCCGGCAGTGCTAATTTTTTTAAGCTTAATTTTGCTACATACACCATGAACTCTTATTCAAACCCCACTCTCTCAATTATATACAAAGGTAGGTCCTATGGAGAATCAAACCTGATATTTAATGTATTGTCAAATTTTTTTAATCAAATTGAATTAATCATTGCAATGTCCTCTCATATTTTTTATTAGAAAAATGGGAAGTACCCTTTTTTAATAAGAGCTTAAGTCAATAATTATGCCACTTAATAGTATAACAAGACATCTCAACGGTTTAGATGAGAAAATTTAGAAACCTCAAATTTAAAAATAAAAATAAAAATAATTAGACAATTTATTATGAGATAATCAAGAAAAATTTATCTCTGTTTTTTATAATTCAAGCTTAAAGCAATCACTTAGAAATAAAATGACCTATCACATGAAAAACTCATAAAAATAACACAAAGAAGAGCAAAATAAATTTAGGTTTTAATATTACATTAAACATTGAATTAAGATTAATTGATAATAAATAAAAATGTCAATTTAAATATAAGATCATAACATATGCATGACATCACTTAAAAATCATCATATTTTAATAATATCACAAAAAATAAAATTGAAGTTGAAGTTTTAATAAGAAAAAAATAGTAAAGAAACAATGATGTAATATGTGAATTCAATTAATAAATCACAAATAGCATTTTATGACTACTTTGTTCTAGACCCTTTAGTTCGTGGAAATCGAATTCGATTCTTTCTGACAAAGCATTTAAGGCATAGCAAATGAGAATAATTGAATGAAGATAAGGATTCCAATTTTTTCTTCCAGAAGACAATTCAAAACGAAAGAGCTTCTTCTTGGTGAGTGAAGTGAGGAAAATCTTAAACATTCTAGCCTATTAAAATAATATGCATATAGAAAATTTGAATGGATAAGTTTCCCAAACCGGTCTTATTTGATGTGACAATTTCATTTAGATGCGTTTCATGTTTCATGAATCGTTGTACTAGGATGAAATCTTAGTTTGTAATGATAATAGGGCATTGGTGTTGACTTGACTGCTTTTGCTGAAAGGTTCTATGGCCGACCTTAGCCTGTTTGGAGTAAAAATAATAGTCAAAAGACAATGTATGTTCTTTATTATTATTTTTTTCCTTTAATTAATATAAAATATTTATTTTTTAAATTTATTCTATCTTAAAATTTAATTCGGTTAATTTATATAATTATTTAGCAAATTTAAGATACAAATTTTTATGCTTATCATCTTCTTTTTTTTTTTAATTTCTAGAATGCCGAAAAATTATCCTTTTTCCCCCTATAAATAACCAAGCAAAACCCAAAGCCATTTGTTCATGTACCCTTCTCTGCTCAAATCTGTATCAAACTCAAAACTCATCCATTCTAGGAATCCACCTTTTTAAAAGAAGAAAAAAAAGAAGCCATCACCAAAAAGTTCAATCTTTTCTATCTGTTTCTCTTCTTTTTTTTACTTGTACTAAAAAAACCAACGACAATAACATCAACGGCTGACAGAAAAGAATAGGAAAAACAATGGTGGTGTTGTCAAAACCTGCAATTGAACAGTTCTCTTATATCAGAAACAACAAGCCAACTACATTGTTCCCTCAAATACCTCTTGTAGACCTCTCAAAACCTGACTCCAAACACCAGATGATCAAAGCTTGTGAAGAATTTGGATTCTTCAAGGTGATCAACCATGGGGTTCCAATGGAATTCATTTCCAAGCTGGAATCTGAAGCCACCAAGTTCTTCTCTTTACCATTTTGTGAGAAAGAGAAAACAGAGGAAACTAAGCCTTATGGCTATGGTAATAAAAGGATTGGACCAAACGGTGATGTTGGTTGGGTTGAATATCTTCTCCTGACAACCAATCAAGGTCCCAACCTCCTTAGATTCCTTTCTGGCGAAAACCCGGATAGTTTCAGGTATGTTGTCAAACCAGGGAATTCTGTTTTTTTCCGGCACATTTTTCTAGTCAATCTTAGCACTTTATTTGTTGGGTTATTTTTGTTTTTACAACTTTTGGTACTGTTGTTTCAGGTTAGCTTTGAATAATTATATGTCAGCAGTGAAGAAAATGGCATGTGAGGTACTTGAAATGATAGCTGATGGGTTAAAGATTCAACCAAGGAATGTGTTGAGTAAGCTGCTGATGGATGAACAGAGTGACTCTGTTTTCAGGCTTAACCATTACCCACCATGCTCTGATGTTCAACCTTTGAATGGTAGCAATGTGATTGGATTTGGAGAACACACTGACCCACAAATCATTTCAGTGCTAAGATCCAATAACACTTCTGGCCTTCAAATCTCTCTTAGAGATGGGAGCTGGATTTCAGTGCCACCTGACCAAAATTCATTTTTCATCAATGTTGGTGACTCCTTACAGGTACATTTTTTCCCATAATTAAACATAGTAGAAACGTCCCTATTTCATTCACCTAAACACATGAAAACAAGTAAAATAATCCAAAATTTTCACTAGTCAATTTCCCTATTGCTTCTGACAAAATATGATTCTTTCTAATTTTAGTAATCACTTTTGATTTACTTTTTGTTGATTTTCTTAAGGGAAATTTAGTAAAAATAAAATAATATATTTGTAATATTCTTTGGAATTGTTGATCGGTTAATACCTGTCATATCTAACTTAACAGTCCCCACTAATAATTTTTCTTCAGTACAAACACAGCTTAGCTGTATAAGCTTTCAAACTACCATCACTTTATCCCAAGTCCATAAAACAAAGGAAAACAAACTTTTATGTCTTATACAAATTTCAGTTCACTTCTTCTTGAGCTTTCTCTAATGGAGTTTTTGGGTTTTTCCATTTTTTTTGTGGCGGGTTGATGTTTCAGGTTATGACCAATGGAAGGTTTAAAAGTGTGAAGCATAGGGTATTGGCCAACAGTGTGAAATCTAGGCTTTCAATGATTTATTTTGGTGGACCACCATTGAGTGAGAAAATAGCTCCATTACCATCTTTGATGAGAGGAGAGCAAAGCTTGTACAAAGAATTTACATGGTTTGAGTACAAAATATCTGCTTATAATTCAAGGTTGGCAGATAACAGGCTCATGCACTTTGAAAGAATAGCTGCCTCATAATGTTTTAATTAACGATCATAAAACGACATCACAAGATGATGAAAGTGATTTTCATCGTACTGTTAAAAGAAAACTTAAATCACATCTTTCAGCCAACAATCATTATGTTTTTATTTTTTTTCTTTTAGTAGTATTTTTTACTTTACTTAAAAATTATAGGATCAAAAAGCTTGTATTAAATTTTCCTGTAGTTGGAAAAAAAAAATATGTAATCTAGCTCTTTTCCTGTTGACTTTTTTCTTCTTTGTTTATCCTCAATGTAACTGTCTTTCTTGTTAATATAGTACAATTTTCATTCCCATCATCATCACCAACCACTTTGATAAATAAATTATAAAAAATAAAACATTTCACAATTAAAAAAAACAAATGAGGAATATTAACAATAAGGCTATATCCAAATTTGGGTGGTCAAACTATACAGTACTTTTGATGGTTTTCCCTACCAAAACCATATATCAAAGATTGTTGTTCCAACTTATAACTACAATTGACATAAACAATCCTACTTGAAACTAATTTTTTGTAATGCACCATCTATTTTACTTGAATTACAAAATAATTTATTGATAAATAGTGATAACAAATTATTAAAATAATATCTGGTGGGTTGTGTTTGTTGTCTGGGACCACTGACTTTGAAAACCAAAGATGTACGAAACCGAGGGCTCTTCCCTTAGGCCCAACTGAAAACCACGTGTATAGATTATGACACCTTTTACAATTCCAAACTGAGGTTGTCTCGAAAATTCTAGGGCCTTTCCAAGGTGTTTCAATTTCTTGGAATAAAAAATTTATAAATTTGTATAAATTCAATATGATCAATTTTTTTTAAAGGAAATTACAAAAATTAAAATTTTATTATCCTTTTGATGGTGCTATTAAAATTAAAAAAGGGGGTGTGGTAAATTGAAAGCATGCCTATTTATTCGCCAACTCGAAATTAACAAATAAATAGTAAATGATTAGTTGGGTCTTTAAAAAAGGAAGAGTTGACTCATATATATATTTTAATGAATTTTTCATAAAAGAAACTCGATAAAATATTTAAGATTTGAGGAAAAAAATTTCATGTTTTAAGTAAATTCAGATTTTAATTTATTGAAATTCAAATAGTTTTGATTTTTTAAAAAAAATCCATTCAAATGAAATTGTTCAAATATTTTATGATTTTTGTTAAAAATATTTCAATATTAATATAATTTTTTATTTTTATAAAATTTAAATATGAAATCCAAAATACCAAAATTTGTATGATTATTTTTTTAACCAAGAAATGACTTTTATTGAATTTGCCGACTTAAAATATAAAAATAATATAATTTAAAATTTTAATAAAAAAAATATATGTATTTAATAAAAATAAAATTATACAATTTATATTTTTTATATTAATACAGACGCATAATTTTTATATTAACTAATATATATATATATATATATATATATATAAGAAAGTGAAAGAAAATGTGATTAGCCTTGATCGGGCAATCCAATCAGCCAACGAAGGCAGCCGGCCCGTGTTAGGGTGTGTTTCCTTACAAAACACCGTTGGTTGCAATTCATTGAACAATAATTTATATATATGTCACGCGGATGTCTCTATTGGGTGTCCTCTCAATCCCCACGTCCTATGCCTATCATTCATTGACATTTTCAAGTTGAATCCAACAATTTTTATTTTTATTTAAAAATATTTTTTTTTATTACGAATGTCTATGATATTTTTTACGACAGAAATACATAGAAAAATAAATATGTTAAAAAATTTAACAATTCGAATCAAAATCTGCATGTCTCATAAAATGGCCGTAAAGTCATTAGGCGGAATAGTGAAAGGCCGACTTTCTTCATTAAGATATTATTTATAAAAAATAATTTGATGTATATTTTTTTATTTAAAATTATCAAAAAATTATATGCATCACTTCATAGTTAATTTTGAAATTTTTTAATGCATTAAATGCACATACTAATTTTTTAATTGTAATCTTAACAAATGTTCTATACAATGAATGAAAGCAACATTTGTTTTCTTTTGGGTGGGTGATGAAGGAAACATTTTTGTGGTCGCATGTACACGACTAACAGGGCACGTTGGCCATGGTTTGGTTGGGGGACAAATTTTAGGTCACAAAATGCTTTGAGATTTTAAATATTTAATTAATATAGTTAATAATTAATGTATTAATTTAGTGGTTGTTATGTCTGTAATAAAAAAAAATGGAAGTCCATGATTCCATTCCATTTTTAATTTGATCTAAAAACATATAAAATAAAACTTGTATGAATTAATAACTTAATATGCATTGTTTTTACGCTTTGTTTGGTTCAAAGAAAATGATATCCTTGCTAATCATGGTAGGAATAACTACATTAACCTAATTGAGTCATAGGTGGAACTATTAATATACTTAAGGCAATAATTAAGTTAATGACATATTTATTATCTCATTTGTTGTGAGGTACACATACCACACATGTTAGTTTAATTTTTTTTTTCACGTGATCGGAAAAATTAAAAAAGAAAAATTTATAAATATTAGGATTTAAGTATAATTTTATCGAAATTTTTTTTTAAGAGATGTTTATAAATCATTTGAATTAAATTTTATATTTATAGTGAATTTAATTTTTTTTTCCTTCTTTCAAGCTATAAAGCTTAATATATATATTATTGATATAGGTTTTAAAGTTTAACTTAGTTACCTTGGCAAAATTGTAAACAAAGTTGAATCCAAATGAACATATGTTTTATTAAAAATTCGGCCACCAATTGAATTGAATTGAATGGGATGAAATCATGAACCATAACTTCCTTGAAAATGGATTGCCCAAAAGGGGATGATGGCCTTTGATGTTATGCTTTCTAGTCTTGTTGGGTTGTGGAATGAATTTTGAAGCCCATTTAACTTCTTTAACTTCTTAGGCCCAAAGTTACATAGTTTTGTTAATTCATTTTGAATTGCAACCTCACGAGATATTGTTTATAAGTTAATAGCTTATTCATTTAATTTGGACCATATTTGATTTTTTAGAAATAATATAATATTATAAATTTTTAAAATTTAATCTGAATTAATTTTTCATATCATTTAATTTAAATTGAATCAAATTGAATTTTCATCAGTTCAATTTGATTTATTTTATTAATTTTTAAATTTAAATTTTTATTTTTATATTATTTTAATATAAATTTTAACATATTTAAATAAATTTTGATATAAAATAATTTTATAAAAATTTTAAAAATATATAATTCGATTCAATTTATTTTTTTAATTTTTAATTTTTTGATTCAAAATTCAATGTAAACTTAATATATATTTAATATTTAAATTTAATTTAAATTAAATAAAAAATAAATCTAAATTTAATATTAAAATTTGAAATCGATTTTTAATTTTTTCTCATTTTATCTATTCTTCTCTTATCAAGACTTTTTTTTTCAAAAAAATAAAATTATTAAACCGTGCGGCTTATAAGCAACGAGCTATCATTTTTCTACGGAAGCATTTTTTCTTGAAGAACAAAACCATAAAGACATATCTTCAAGCCTCCAAAACGAATAATCTTTCAATAATATCGGCCGAAGACCATAATCCATTAATCCTTGCATCAACAATTTATTTTTGTAAGTAAAATTTTTTGTTCACAAAAATATATAATTTACTTTAATGATGACTATGGTAAAAAATTCAATTTCAAATAATCCAAATCAATTTTTTCAATAATTTTATAAAAAAATATATAAATTCTTTTATGGCTCCATGCAACACCAGAAAAAAAAAAATTCAAATCCGACTTTTTTAAAATTTAAACCAAGAAATACATACACAAACTGTTGAGCGTTGAATATCCTGAGCAGAGTTAGGTCACAAAAAGGTAGTGCTCAATGGGCTTACAATTGGTTGCTGTACTTCACATCACATCCAGGCTGTTTTCGCTTTACTAATTTCGAAGCATTCATTCAATTTTCTTTGCAGTTTGTTTGATAATACTTGAAAACTTGTTCAGTTTTCACCTCTTTCTCTCATACTAAAAAAATTCCCTCCCTCTTTTTCAAATCCATGGCTCGAAAGCGCTCAAAAATCCCGATTGAAGACCCTCCAGCTGCTGCTTCTTCTTCTTCATCGTCATCATCGGAGGAAGAAGAAGAGACTTCCTCTGAAGAAGAAGAAACCCAAACCCCACAAACCATCAAAAACCCAACTCTGAATGTGAAGCCTATTGCTACAAAACCCATGGAGGAAACTTCAAAGATTAAGAAACCCAGATCAAAACTCTCGGCTTCTCCCGTTAAGGCTTCTTCAGCCAAGCGGCCTAGTGAGTCCGAGCAAGAACCCAAAGAAGTGAAACGACCCAAGAAAAAAACCAGCGACGAAGAAGGGACCGGTTCTGCTACTGCTGTTGAGGAGGTGAACAAGACTGGAGAAGATGCAAAGAAACAGCTTTTCCAGCGGCTGTTCAGTGAAGATGATGAAATTGCTGTGTTGAAAGGTATGTTAGATTACTTGGCGAAAAAAGGGGTTGACCCTTTTGCTAATGCCAATGCATTCCATGATTTTGTTAAGAAATCAATTCATACTGATGTTTCAAAAGCTCAGTTGATGTATAAGGTTAGGAGGTTAAGGAAAAAATTTGAAAATAATGCTGGGAAAGGTAAAAATGGTAAGGACCGGATTTTTTCTAAACCCCATGAACAGAAAATTTTTGAATTGTCCAAAACGATTTGGGGTAGAGAAGGAATTACTGGAAATGCTGAGTCTTCTGCTGCTAAGTCGAATGGGAAAGAGAAGGAAAATAGCAAGACTTTGGTTGAATTAAATGCAGAGTCGCTTTTTGATAAGAAAGTGGATGATAGGGAGACAATGGAGGTTGATAAGAAGCAGTCTAAGAGTTTGGGTAACTTGTTTGATAAGATGATTGGTGTAGGTGGGTTGGAAGAGGAAGTTATAAAGCATGGACTGGATATGATTGGGGGAGAAAAGAGGGAAGCTTTGGAGGAGAAGTGGAGGAAATTACAGATCGCTGAGTTGGAGCTGTTTTTGAAGCGGAATGAGTTGCTGAAGGAACAGGCCAAGTTGATGCTGGACTTTTACAAGTCTGAAGATGCATAGCTGGTCTAGAATATTTTCATTTTTAGAGAACTTTATGTTATTAGGTGTCTTTAATGTTTCTATGACTGTGACTTTTGGTAACTTAGATTATAGCAATCTCTTGCACTCAGGAATTTGCTATTTCTGAGTAGCATGTTATTTTCAAACGGTAATTATGGTTTGATTATCTATTGTTTTTAGTTTTATATCTTATGCTTGTAGTTGCTTTATGTTTGGTTATTGATAATCTTGTGGATTCCCCACCCAATATGAATTGCCTCAATGCTTTCTGAATTGTTAATTTCACATTGTTATCAGAGTACTATACTGGCCTGTTACTGTACTTTACTGAATTTTTGTTTAGGTTTAGAAGTATTAGTGAATTATATTTTATACCAGTGGTTTCTATTGGTAACTAATCTGGAGAATGTATTTTTTGTTAGCCATTAACTGAATTGTTTTCAAATGAATATTACAATGTAGTTTTGCAAAATCCACAAGATTTTTCCATCAGGTTGGAGATCTCATGTTTTGTTACCTTTCTGTATGATGTTTTTGGTTGGGCATGGTGATTATGGCTGCTTTTTGCCTCCACATATTTCCTTTGTTCACTTAAACTTGTCTGAGCTGATCTTTCAAGCAAATGCCAATAATCTATTTTGTTGCTGCATTAGCTCTGCTTTGGTTAAACTCATACATGATCATTGAATATGTTAGCTATGGTTTTACAGCCACTACTTTTGGTCTGCAGCTGTATGACTCAGGTTTGTATGCAAGTGACGGTAATAAAAACTGGCAATCTAGGCTGGTTTTAACAAGTTCTTTTCAGGATCTTGATAGAATGTATAATTTCTTTTAATGTTACATAAATGTGTATGTTGGTTGTTGCATTTGCTTTAGTTCCAAGTTCATTTTTGTAGTAGTTTCTGCTTACCATTAACATTATCATGTTCTCTGACAAAAGCAACTAGACTTTACATTCTAGCTATGTATGTGTTTTTCTTTGTATGTATCAAGTAACAGGTAGCGAAAGCCTGCTTCATAAAAGTAGTATCTTCCTTACTGGTAAGGCTTTGATGTTTATATGCTATTACAGCATTTTACTGTTGATGAACTGAGCATAGATTAGAGCTAACTAATTTTGTTCTTGGTTATGTATTTATGGATATTGTCAACATAATTGAATGACTTTTATTCTTAACCAAAATGGAAGATGCATAGAAACCTAAATGGTACCTTCAACTTGTCAGTTCTTTAATTCATATATTTTTATTTCATATTTAACATTTATAAAATACTAAAATACAAAAATTATCATATGTCAATACGTAAAATATAAATTTTTGTAATTTTTGTAAAAGTTTTAAATTACATCATATTCGAGGTTTTTTTTTTTTTTTTTGTGTTTAAAATTACTAGGTTTATCTTCAGTTGCTAGTTGCCTACTGATATCAGATGACTTTAATTTCTTATGGAACCTTTCCTCGGCTCAAAACAAATTCTGCAAAACAATAGAAGACGACCAAATTTTAAAGGAATAAAACATATCAACGATCGAACCTTGGGTTTCTTACACACGGCATTAAGAAATGCCCCTTCTATCACAGATGTCCCCAGACCTAACCCATAAACAACACTACACCATATTAAGATCACCCTTAATGGTTTTAACATTTCATAGCAAAGCATACTAACTAGTGAGGATGAGATGGTGGCCAAACTGCTGAGACACATGGCCAACAAAGAGGGAAATGGTGAGCAACCATTTCACAACCATTATACATGAACAGGTAAAATACACCTACACATATTTCAGAGATTGTTTTATTTCTGGCTCTTCTTTTTCCACAGATCTCCGAACATTTTAATTCCGGAGCCCTTTCGCTTTCCACTTCCAAAACCATCATCATCGTCACCCAAGCCAGGTGATCCAACATAACCTGCATAACCAGCAGCTGCTGGTTCAAACACTCCACCAAAATGCTTATCCATAGAGCTACACCTGTTTGAAATCCTCCCATTCATTTCTACACCCCCAGAAAGAATAGCAGCTGCAGCATCTGCTGCCTTTCTCCATTGTTCTGTCTGTACCCTTAGTTTCTTCATCTCTGCTTCCAATGCTTCCTTTTGCCCTTCCACAGATTGGAGCTTTTCCTTCAGTTGTGCTGCATTTGTTTTACTTGCTTCCAGCTCCTCTCCTACTTGTCTCAACCTCAAGGTCATTTCCTCTTCCTTGGCTTTAGTAATTGAAATACTTGAGGTCACTTCATTCAGCTGCTTTTTGAGTTCCTCATTTTCTTGAGTAAACACCCCAAGCTCCTTTTCTTTCTCTTCTAGCTTGGATTTTAGCATATTTATCTCATCATTTTTCAAAGCCAAGTCATGGAAAGATGGTTTCTCTGTCTCCGATACTGCTGGTGGTTCAGTTGATATCTCTATTGCTTTGGTTTCTTCTTCTACTTGATTGACTTCATCGACTTCCACCTTAGGCTCAACTGCTACTTTTTCCACTGGGACTTCAAAAACATCAGTTTCTTGCTGACTATCTTCAGAAACTTCATCTCCGAGGCTGCTGTCTGTTTTCTTAGAATCATGAGTTCTTTTTGGAGAAATCTTTTGATGAAATTCAGCAGGTTCTGCAGCTTTTGGCTTCTTGGTCTTCTTTTCCAGTTCTTCTTGAGCTTCTTTCTTTGCAGCTTCTGCTGAAGCCAACTGGTCTTTCAGAATCTTCAGCTCCTCTTGTGCTTGCCCTAGTTGAGATTCTAAATCTGCAATACGAGTGCCAAGTTTCTTCTGATTCAGTGGATCTGATTGTGGTGCACCTCTTGGGGAACGACGATCTCCAAGCTTGGGGCTACTAATTGGTCGATGATGCATAGGATCAGAATCAGAACTTGATGACCTAACCTGATGTGTGCCTCGAGGAGATTGCCTTTGTGGCATTTCTGAGCCCCTACTCATACAAAGAAAAACATGAAAGTTACATAAACAAATTATGTAAAAGTTAATGAAATCTCAACTTAAAAGAGAAACATCACTTCAGGCAGAAGAACAGGTAAACATGTAACACAAGCTGATCTTGTCTTTTGCATGACTGCAAATCATTGTTTAGAAATACAGGATGATTACACATGCATATTTATATTTCACAAAAGAGTATTAGAAACCACCAACATACTAGTTTTAACTGATGCAAAGTTACAGAATCTCAAAAATGTGAAAACCACATTTGAAAGCGAACTAACAAAAGATTAATCTCCAAGTATTAAACATAAAGAAGAAATATATTTATTAGTGTAAGGCAGATTAGATTCTCACCTTGATCTAGGCATTTTTGGCACTTAAATGTTGAAGAGTTTGTAATTAAAAAGGAACTAGGTAGTCAAAAGCTTGTAACCTGCAAAGTTTTAGGCGCATCAAGGAAAAAAGTAAGAATGGCAGATGTAAATAGACAATAAATATAATTATAAAATTCAGAGGGTAAGAGAAAAGGTAAATTGTATCAAGTTTCATCACTCTTGAAGATGTATATCTTTTACCTTAGATCCAATTATGACAGTGACCAAACCAAATAAGTTCAATGCCATAAGACACAAAATCTATTTCCTGGCAAAAGTAAAAATTTTACTTCATGAAAAACTGAAAGAACCTTTGTTATCTCATTTGTAGCATTATGCTTCACAAACTCTTCAGACAGAATTAAAAAAAACGAATGCCATAGCATCTTGCATGGTTTCAGGAATGCACACATTGGTTACAGGATGACTCAAAGCTGAAAAACAGCAAGATTTTAAACAAGAACTTGCATGCAATACAACAACGACACGATGCGAAATATACATCTTCAAAATACACAATATCTACCAACTCTAATAAGGAATGGTAAGAGGGATACCATCTAAAGAATTCCTCCCACCAAATGGTCAATCAGTAGAAAATATGAAACACAAAATTAACATATCCAAGGCTCCCTACTTAACACAGATCAATGCAAATTCAATCCTAGCAACCAAAATCTCCGATGAATCTTTAAAACATCTTCTTTAAGTACAAGAGAAGTAGGTTATTGAATCACTTATAAATCTGCAGTTTTAGAGCAAACGTTTTTTTTTTCTTTTTCAGAAAAGTCCTCAGTTGGCCCACATATCTACAAAGAGAGCACCTGCAGTCCACTATGGTGTACACACCATGTAATGAGAGCGGGTTTACCATAAACTTTCTCAATTATTGAAGCCAAGTGTCTGGCTTTTGACTTTGATATCTGGGGTAAAAAGATTTTAGCAGAGTTAATTTTGTACACTAATGAATAATGACATAACAAGTGATATCATCTTCTTACTTCTCTTCATGATGGAAATCATTGCCTCTATTTTTTTATAAAGTGAGATAAGGGTGTCTTAGAAATTTTAGTTGCCAATTCTAATATTAATTTCAGTACTGATAAAAAGTTTGGTCATGGATTCAAACATCAAACGGCCACCATGTAAAAATCGAAGCTATAAAATTTTTGCATATTATTTCCACAGATAAATGTAGAAAGTCCTCCAACAGTCAAACCAAATCACAGATCAGCAACTATCAAACAAAAAGCATAAACTCTAAATGAAAGAATCCAAATATTGTTTTCACTTTTCCAATCCCCTATGTCCTAACTCATTAGGAGTTCTTTGCTGTTTCCCTTGCTTTCTTGGACAGTGCAAAAGTGTTTTTCCCTTCTTTTCTCACTATCTATCCAAAGGGCATTTTTGTAATTTGACAAAGCTAAATTGTTGTTTATGATTAAAGGATGAGACAAAAGGGAGCCAGACATGCCTGGCCTGAGAAAGAAGTCAGGATTTTGGAGTCAAAATCAATTCACGCGCCACCACGAGAGTGATGGTAAGGTGAAGTTAATGCCAATAAAATATGAAAATTTTTGGCTAATAGTGCAGACACTCAGACAAAGTTAGTAGTTGTTCACTGCGAATTAGAAAATTTTAAAAGCAGATCAATGTTGAACAATTTACTCAACAATATCAGAAAAGGGTCAGTTTGAGAAACTGCATTTCACAATAAATAATCATCAATCTCAACAAAAATGGAACGAAATAACTTCAAACCATTTTACAGGAGAAGCCATCAATGCTTGGCTAGTAGAACAACTTGGTCATGGATCAGATCTTTTAAAACAAAAAAAAAATTTAATCAAAATGCAGCCTCAACCCTTTTTTTACAGGCTGTTGCATGTTTGGATAGCTAAGAAAACAATCAGAAAGGAAAGAAATTTTGGGTCTCAACTTTCTAGGACAATGGACCTCTCTCTACTTTGTGTTTTCTTGACAACCAAACTGAAGAAATGTTACACTATTGAACTAAACCATGCATGCTTCAAAACTGGATCAAAGCACCAAACCTTTTTACTTATAAAAAGGAAAAGAAAGAAAGAGAAAAGAAGGTTAATATCTTACCTTACAAAAGAAATGAGGAAATCTTAGCCATGAGAAACCCTTCAGTACTCAAAACTGAAATGCAAGGTAATGAAGAACTAGAAAAAGAAAAAAAAAAAAAAAAGCACTTGAACCAGAGAGAGAAGAGAGAAAAATAAAATAACCCAGAAAATTGTTAGGAGCAATAGAGGTCCAGAGAGAGAGAGAGAAAGAGAGTTCAAAAGTTTGAATTAAAGCTGCAAAATGGAATAGTTGAGTAGACTCCATTAATAATAAAAATGTGGGAAGGAAAAGGACAAGAGTGTAATTTTGGGAGAAAAGATTGATAGTATAAATTAGTAGTAGTATCTTGGAAATCCAACGGGTATCTTACTTTCTTTAAACCCTTGTCTTTTGTCTGTTTTCAAATCTTCAAACGTTTTTTTCTTTCTATCCATTACATGACTACTGTTTCCTCTCCTTTCAATTAGTGTATATTTCAACATTAAAAATCAAAGAACATCAAATTACACTAAGTTAATTAGTAATTTTATTCTTAATCATACAACAGTGGTGACATTTGTTCAATGAATAACTCATTTATATCATTACATGCATCATCATCATGCTCAAGAAAAATGCAAACAAGTCCCTACAGTTTTTTTTTTTTTGACGATTATTATTTTTATAGTAAGAATAGAAAAAATTTATAAATTATTAAAATTTAAATTTATTTGATATTATTTTTTAATAATTATTATATAAATAATTGATTTAAATTTCAAATTCAAACAATTATGTTCAAATATTCTTATTTTCACGCACGTTTCATGTACACAATATAAGACATTCATGCAAATCAAAGTTGCTTGTTTGTTTTTTTTTTTTATCCATTTTAAACATAAATAATTAAATATGATTTTGTTTGGAATCAAAGTCCATTTTCATTTACTTTCCTACCCTTTTTGTCATATTTTCCTCGCAAAGTAAATTTGATTGAAGCTAAATCAAAATTTTTATGAATCCATAAGTTATGTATATAAGATTATATTTTACAAGTACATTGCATTCAAATTTACTTTTTGAGAATAAAAAAATACAAAAAAGAAAAGAATGCTTTTAGTCTAAAATGCTTAATAAAGAAAAACTTTTGCAATTATGATGACAATGTGGTAGATGAGTAATGAACCATCCCCAAGTGCATGCAACTACGGGCACTTAATAAATAGCACAACATATTGTAATCTCTTTGGGATTCATAATTACTATGAAAACATGTACTAGAGCACCAATGATAATGGTACATATATATGTTAGGTGAAAATTAAATATATGTGAATCTACAAGAATTGACCCATTTAAAATAATTTATATGAAAACAATTGAATAATACAAAGTGAATTGATGAATAAATATTTTTATTATAACAATTATATAGCATAATATACTTCAATAAGTTTGAATCATAACTAGAGTTTTTTTTTTTTTATTTTCTTATCAAAGTAATATGAGTTGATGCTAATGAGATATTAGCTTAATGGAAAGGAAACTATCCTAAAACTTTGATGTCCTAGCTTAATAGTTAGTAATTCTATATGTGAATTTATTTTATTTTATATTAAATTTATCTAATTATATTGAATATGGTAATGATTTCTTAGACGAATATTGCAATAGTTGATAATGATTATAATTTTTTTATACTTGTAATTTTACAAAAAATAATGAGTAGATTTTTTTCTATACATATTATATTAAACTACTTAATAAAAATTTTTTTTTATTATCCCATCTCATAATTAATCGCATTCCATACATTATTGTAATTTGAATTTGAAAACTTTAAAAATGAGCTTTTAATATTTAGCAATTAGGATCTCCTTTTGGAAACAAATAATAAATAAATTTATTAAGTTACTTTTAAATGATAATATTTAATAAATTAAAAACTTAAATATTAATAACTATAATTATTTTTTTTATCTCAAATTGCTATTTTTTTTATATATAAAAAAGTACATGATAATTTATAATTAATTAGCACTTGGCTTATTGGTAGAAAAATATTTATGTGCATGCAATTGATTGAAATCAATCACATGAATTTACATTTTTTTTTGTAAAAAAAAATGAAGAGTGGATAGATTGTTCAATCTCTCATATTAGGGTAAGATATACCGTACTTAATAACGTAAGACAAGTAACTACAAATTGTGCATTCGAAATGATCTCAACAAATAATCACCGACAGAACTTGAATCTAAGATTTTATTATCGAAGAGAACGATCTTAACTGATTAAACCAACAATTTGTTGGTCATAAATAAACATATTAAATTATCCAAAATTTCTTATTTTCTACTATTTGCTTCCCTCTTAAAGAGGTCATTTGTAGCCAACGGTGATGCATATGAATAGTCCATATCAACAATTTATAGATTGCATTACTCATTTATTGTTTTAAGCAAAATTGTGTGGGTTACAATTAGTCAATTTTCAAATGCTAGAATACCCGATTTCAAAGGCAGTCACAACTTTGCTTTCCTATCTCAATCTTTTTATTGGCATTTATTTTCCTTATTTCTTTCCTCAATTGACGTTTTTTCTCTTTTCTTTTTTTAGCTCCAAAAATTTCCCGAAGTTTGGATTTGGCTATCAACTTATTCAACATGAACTAGAGATGTCAATTGGGCTTGTGGTCCAGAGGTAAGAAAGGGAAAGAGGAGAAAGGGCGAAAAAGAATCAAGAAATAGGGTGGGGGATGAAGATGAAATATTGAAAAAGCAAATTAGAAGAAAATTAATTTTTTGCAGGTGAAGTCAGTTAATGCCACATAGGCTTAGTTAATTTTAAAATAATTTTGCTAACAACTTCATTTAAGACATAAGCTTCACAAAAACTTTATGCCAAGTAATTTTTCCAAAAAATTATAATAAGGTTGCATTATCATAGAGGTATTAATGAATCAGATTGAATTAAGTTTGAATAAGGTGTAAACATGATATTAACGTAATTTTAACTTAAAAAATACATTTTTTTACAATGAATAAGTGAGATGTATACCTGCACAAGCTTGATTTGATTATACAAACAAAATTTTATGGAAGTTCACACAATTCATCAGATATTATTTTTCAAATATAAAAATATAAAATATTAAAATTATATGATATTAAAAATATTAAAATATTATTGTATTTTTTATTAAAATTTAAACATGAGTAACTTAACATATTTTTTAATGTTTACATTAAAAATATTTTTTTATATAATTAAATTATATGATAAATGGAGATCCATTTATATCAGTGTAAGTATTACATTTTTTTTTAAATCCTTTAATCAAAATTAAATACAAAAAACTTACCCCTTAGTTATTTTAATCTAAAGATAAAAAAGTATAATATTTATTTCAGTTTTAGTGAATCTCTCCTCAATATATATATATATATATATATATATATCTATAAACATAAAATAATATATTATATGATTATGAGTTTAAACCTTAAATATTGGAGTCAAGGATCTATGTTTTTTTTAAACTACCTCAAATTTTTTTGCAAACCCATTTAACGTGCTTAATATCTTTATTCAATTACCCTTTCAAATATTGGATAAACCCTCAATTTTGGATGCCCAATCCTTAAACATTTTTACACAATCATTGATATGCTGGACTTAATTAACGTAAGAGTTATTTTTTTCTTTGATAGAGAACGATTAAAATTTAGGATTCAAAACTTTGTACTTAATCTAAATGATTTACAATTTTTTTTAGACCGAATTATCATAAGATTGAAGTCTAATCTCTAAAACTTGCAATTTATTTTCTAATTATGGCTAATGTTTTTGACTCTTTTATTAAAAAAAAAAAAATTCTAATATGTATGACCCTACAAATGCTCACCATCTTTACTAATCATCATCAATAGCCATGAGTATTTGATTATATTAAAAGTTCTTTGATTGGTACATATAACTAGATTTAAGCCCCATGTGATGCACAAAAGATAATTTAAATTTATAATAAATTTTTTAATATAAAATAAAACGCTACAAATATAAAGTGACTGCTTAATTTTTAAATTAATACAGGGTGCCGGATGGATGTTTCAATCAATTAGATATTAGATTATTGCTATAAGAATGTTATGACTTGGTTGAGCTTTTTTTTTTTATTTTTCATTGTTCTTAATTTCTTAAAAAATAAGCACCATATTTAACGGAAAAAGCCTTTCCACCATCAATGAAAATTGTTCTATAAATATTACTTTTCTCATCTAGCCTAGTATTATTTATTTTTATGCTTAAACAATAAAAAAAATTTTGAAAATTGTCAATTAATTGCAGCTTTTGTTAGAATATAAATGCATGGACTGGTGAAAGCCAATTATGGGGTGGGTTTATATGAATAAAATAGAATGATAAATACCCAAAAGAGTGCAATTTTTTTGGGTACATGTGATTTAGGATCGGAAATTATAAGAATAACAATAAAATTGGCCTTCACACTATTCAAAATGTGTAATTTTGATCTCTAAAATATTATTTATGTCAATTTAGCCTTTTTTTTTTTAAAAGTTATCTGTCAATTTTATCATATTTTAACGAAAATCAGTCCTGTGATCTCACGTGATTAACAGTTTTATGACATCCAAATATGAAAGCCACATGGATAATGACATTGTTGCCACGTGTAATTTTTGCCACATTTTATATAACACGTCAAAGAATGACTACTTGAAAAAAATTGACGTGACACCCGATAAAATAAAAAAATCTAAGATTAAAAAAAAAAAAACCCTTTTCACTGAAACAAAAAATAAAACCCTTGCTGTTTCACATGTTGAAATAGGTTTAAAAAAAATCTGAGAAATATTGAAATCTCTAAGATTTTATTTGGTGAAAAAGGCAGAAAGAGGAGAGCATAAAAAATTTATTAATTTAATGTTTAAGTGAAAAGATACGATTTAATGTTTAAGTGAAAAGATACGATGATGAAATGTTAATTTAATGGTTAAAATTCATAATAATTTTATTTTTTTATAACTTAATTATTAGATTAATAATTTTTTTATCTTTACTTTTTTTTTTTCCCAACTAAAGAAAGCCTAAATTTGGACCGTGAGATTCAAAGTGAGAAAGGCTGAAAAGATTAGAAGAGAGGTAATTTGATCGATTAGGGTTTTTCTGAGATTAGGGTAGGGAAAACAATTTGCTTATGTACAGCTTAAGCTTTTGGAAGGAAAAAAATGGCTACAGGATTGATGAAAACATGGAAAAGAAATAAGAATATTTCTGCTAAAATGAGGAAAAACAAGTGAGAAATAGAAAAATCGGTTGAATTACCTTTGAAAAGAATTTTTGTGGCTAAAATTAGAGATGTCATTCATGTCTGGTTTCATGGCCCTTCGGATTATATAATGTGATTTCGGATTTGAGTTAAAAGAAAGGAAAATAAACTTGAACTAGAAAATGAAAGATTGACTATAATTAAGTTTAGAGTGATTAATTAAGAACGACATATTAAATGGAGATTTTATTTGATTTCACTAAAATTTGTTAAATTTTTGAATTGGCTGGTCAAATTTAAGGTACAAATAATTTAAAAAAAAGATTAATATTATGATTGGTTCTTAAATTATAATAAAAATTTTAATTTAATATTTAAAGTTTAAAAACTTTTGATATGATTTTTTAATTATAAATTTATTAATTAATGTGATATTCTTTCTAACATGGTTAACTCTAAATAATGATACTTGACATTCAAATAATCCTTTAAATATCATATTAATTAACAAATTAATAATTTAAGTATTATATTATAAATTTTTAAAATTTAAATATTATATTAAATATTTCACTATAATTTAGAAATTATTTATAAATTCGCCCTTTATGTAAATTATAATGGCATTTAATTATTTGTGAAAATAAAAGAAAAATGTATTAACGATGGTAAGTAAAGTTTTATTATTTTTTATATGAATTTAATCGAGAGTGATTTAAGATAAATAATAATAAAAATAAATTAATTTAATTTAATTTTTTAAAAATTATTTAAATAAATAAAATATAATTATGAAAAGATACATGGTGATTTTTCATGATTATCCTTATATTAATAATATAAACCATCTAAATAATATATTTTCTTTTTTTTCTTGTACAAATGAAGCAGCATAATTAGAGATGATGGCTCAACTCGCTTCTAACGAGTTCTAACTTAATCCTACTTTTTAAGGTCTATTTTTTTTTAATCGAGTTTCGGGTCAAGTAATAATAGAAAAAAGTCGGAGTCGAATTTTAGACAAACTTAACTTGACCCTATATATATAATTTTTTAATTATTTATTTAAATATATATATATTTATTTAATTTTATATCATATTTAAAAAATATTTTATATTTTAAAAATAATATTTTATTAATTTTGAGTTGGGTACTATTTATACAATATTTGCTCGAGTATGAAAAAAATAAAAAAAATTATTGAGTTAGGTTAGACTTGAATATTATGAGTATAAAATTGGATCAGGATAAATAAAAACTTATCCTGACCCGATCTATTGTCATCCCTAAGCATAATAAATATAGGAGAATGGATTATAGGCTCTATAATTTTTAAATCTTTTGAATGACACATTATCAAATAGTTACATGAACCAACTTAATAAGTTTTTTAGTTCATGTTTTATTTTTTGGTTTTTATATATTTATATCTATATTTTATATTAGGTTTCATAAAAAAAAAGTATGTTTTTAGCCACTTTAACCATAAAACGATTAATAACCAACTTTGCTTCCTATTAAATTCACTTGTTAAAAATGGAAATTAAAAAAAGATATGGGATTTCATAAAAAAAAAAAAAAGTAATGTTTTTAGCCACAATAACCATAAAATGCTTAATAACCAACTTTGCTTCCTATTAAATTCACTTGTTAAAAATGGAAATTAAAAAAATTGATGGGATTTCATAAAAAGGTATGTTTTTAGCCACAATTACCATAAAATGATTGACAACCAACTTTGCTTCCCATTAAATTCACTTGTTAAAAATGGAAATTAAAAAAAAAAAAAAGTTATGGTTAAGACTTTTAGGAGAGTCAAAATCATAAGACAATCAAAGTCAAATATAAACTAAAGTGGCCCCAATAGCCACTAAACAACAACTTAGGGCTTTGAATTTTTCTTGTCTCGTTGAAATTAGAATCCAAAAAAGCATGAGTATTTGAATTATTATTCAAATTATAGAAGGAATGTGGGTCGATGTGGTCTTTGATATATTTTCGTAATTTAATGAAAAATTTGGAGGCCAAGCTGTTAATAATAACAAAGTCTAGTCCAATGACAATTGACAAAGCATGTGAAACCAATTCATGTAGATGAGTTTCCCTTGTATTAGGGAAAGACATTGCATGTGAAATTTAATTGCTTTTGATATTTTTTTCAACTACTCTTAAGGCCGTCCCTACCCAATCCCAGCTCATAAATTTGAATGTGAAGCCCCACAGTTGACCATTTTTTATGGAACAGGATCGAGATTCCATGGTGATCATTTGATCAAACCATAAATATAAGATAGACTTCAAGGATATTGTACCAATTTTTTTTTTTTTTTTATATGGAAGAAAATTCTGGATAGATATAGATTGCTTCAACTCATAGGCTAGGACAAGATGTGGGTTTAACAATGGGATTTTAGTTAATTCTTGCCCTTTTTTCTTTCAAAGAAAATTTGAGCATTTTAAGTTAATTTTATTAAAAACTAATATAATAATATTAAAAGAGTAATTACATTTTTAATCTTAAATGTTTATTTTTTTTTCAGTTCTAAACGTTGACAATTGTTATTTCAGTCGTAAACATTATCAAATAATTATAACAAATTTTTTTTTTGTTTACTAAGTTAAAGGGAAGTGAACGACGAGACTAGAATCCATGTTTACAAGCCTTCCTCAAAGCTTCTCAGCTAGCGTACCGAGAAGCTGAAGGATACACTGATAGTCTTAATGTTAAATACCAAATGGATTTGCTAATGGAATGCACATTTAAAAATAATGATATCCAATGGCGTTATATAGAAAACAACAACACTTTTAGTCTTTAACGTTATCATATTTTTAATTTTCAGTCCTATACGTTTGAAAATTGTTATTTCAATTCTAAATGTTATCATATGATTATATTAATTGTTTTAATATTAATTACTAAACAAGTTTATTAATGAAATGCACATGTAAAAATAACAGTAACCAAGTAACATTACGTGGCATACTTATCATTCGATTAAGTTGAAATTTTATTTAAAAATTTAATTTTAATTTAAATTTTAAAAATATTAATATTTTTGTAATTTTTTAAACATTTAAATATTTAAAAAAAAATTTAGACCTTCAAAACAACAACTAAGCTTGAAGAAAACCTTTAAAGGACTGATTGAATTCGATACGATTCATAACCATCTCTAATTCGAATTTACTACAAACTTCAAAGAACTTTTATCTCCTTCACTGACCTAACAATATGGCAACAATTAAATTTATGTTAGGTGGTAGTTCACCAACCATTTAAAGTACAAGGCATTGCTTTGAGGGAAAAGGGGGGAAGGAAGATTGGGATAGGGACTATGGCCCTCTCCTAGGCCATCTTCATTTTAATTGTTTAACCCTTTATACCTTGCAAGCATATTCAAAAAATTATTTCAACTTATGCTTACCCCTCACCTTTCCTTTACCAGAAATCTGGTGCCCTTGAATAAATTTGGTAATGTACTTGTTAATAATTGTAGTGTTTCACCAAAAGAGGCAAAGTATTTACTTCCCTTTTAATGGTTTAATTTTTATACAAAAGGTAAAAGTAAAGATTACGGTTGACAATATGATGAGTTAATTAATTTTTTGAGATAATGTTATGAATGAAATACTTGATATGTTACTTGAATTATAAATCTATTAATTAAGGTAATTTTTAAAAATTTGTTTCTACATTACGTATCATTATTTAAAACTAATCATATTTAAAAATAAGTATAATATTAATTAATAAATTTATAGTTATTGTATTATATTAAAATTTTTTAAAATTCAAGTAATATATTAAACATTGTCTTATAATTTAAAAATCATTTATGACATTAACATTGTTTTTAACTTGAAACTATCAAAATTTGAGTTTTTTCACTCAAACTAAGAGTTCAATACTCTTTACTAACAAAGCACACAACTGTTGGCAAAAATAAATGTATTTTTAAAGTAAACAATTCACTTACAATTCTCTTTATTATAATCCTATAATTATCCAATCACAATAAGTTAGGACAAACCCTATAATATGCTAATTCTCGAAATCTTGGTTTAATAATAAGTGTAACTAGAAATGTAATTGATCGAATTCGAATCGATATAGTATCAAGCTCGATCTCAATTTTAAATTTAAGGTTCAAAATTCTGCTCGAACTCGATCGAATTTAATTTTTTTTAATTCAAACTCAACTCAAAATAAAAATTAAACTACTCAAACTCGCTTTATTATATTCGATTAATATGTAAAAATAAGTTTGATTCTTATATCCAACAAAATTTTGATTATTTGTGTTCAAGTTCGAACTTGAATTCAAAATATTTTATCAATTAAAATATATTAAAATATAAAAACTCAATTAAACTTACGAGTAACTCAAACTGGATATAAAAATATTTGAGTTTAACTCGATCGATAAGTCAAACAACTTAAGCTCGAACTCAACTCGATAACAATCGAATCGAATTTAAATTTTATTGGAATCAAACTCAAGTAATTTGTGAGTACTAATATATTATTTATACTAGGTGTAACTATTATCTTATTTAAAGAATTGGATTCGAATCACTTTTGATTATTCTTCCCCAAATCCAAAAACAATTGATACTAAATGCGAGACCTTGCTGCTGGTGGCATCACATGCAAAAAGATGGTGGATCCTAATGTTCAGAAAAGAGGTTGAATTTTTCCATGGACTTCAATGTGCCTGAATTTTGAGAAAGTAGATGATGTTTCTTTCTCATTGAGGGAAGAAGCAGAATTTCACTTGTATCATGTATCCTTTTTACAGCTTTATCTTGGGAAAAAAAAAGGAAATGAAAAATATTTATAAATTTCATCCCTTCCTTCACCAATGAGCAAATGAAACGATTTGATTCCGATATGAAGAACGAGGGAAAGAAAGAAAAATGTACAACAATTTAATCAGCTGAGCAATAGCGGAGCTAGTGCATCATAAGCTTTTCATCCTTCTGATCAAATCAAGCACAACCTTAAAACTATAATTCTACAACTTTGCATGCAACTAAAACTTTGAACAAGCTTCATCCTCAACATGCAAATTGTCATTCAAAGTCTGCATATTGCATAGAGGAAATAAATGATGTGAGGGGTTTTTCCCTCTTTCGCGACCTAGGCATTAAAGGCAAGCAAACACGGCTCAAACTAGGCATTCAATGAAGCATAGGTTAGTTGACAAAGGTATTTCATCCATTCAGGGTTCATGGATTGTGTGACACCAGGGCAGATAGGACTCGAAAACCTTTAACAACCAAATTTGCCCTTAATAGGCTTGTGATTTAAACAGTTCCGGCAACCGAGAGAATGATGGCTTACATCATATACCAAAGGTAAGACTGCATTTACCACAGTATCTGTAGAAGACTCTTTAATTAATTTCTTTTTTTCACCTGTAGCCGCCAAGAACTTCATTTTTACAAAGGCTTCTTTTCATTTAACACATGCAAGCTAAATAATAGTACTAAACGAAGCATTATAATATGATTTGTTTCTAGGATATGAACATGCTAACAAATGAAATCAATCTAGCAAAGGGGATCAAAACATTATGAATAGGACAAACAAAAATCCTTTCATTTGCTAGAATAATTGGTTTACTTTTTTTAACATCTATATATGTAGTGATAGAAGTGTGAGGAAGAGAAAGGATCATCACTACCTTGACCTTTAAAACAGTTGCATGGAGCTACTCAGGCACTTTGTCCTGGCTCCAGACTCAGCTAGCTAGCAAACACGGCCAGCATCATCTGTTTGAGAAAGATGATCACTGGTAGCTTGGCCATAAAACTATTGCCATGAAACTCCAGGGCCACTTGTCATAGCTCTAAATTCAGCAAGAGATACAGCCATAGCCAGCATCATCTGCTCCTCATAACTCTCTGGAACAATGGGTCCAAGGGCATTATGAAAGCTGCCCCTAATTTCATCTGGTTGTGGTATTGCAGAGATCCCACCAGCATCTTCTGTCACATCAGAGCTTCTGGAACTAGTTCCTGCTTCAGCTGCCTCTGATCCATGATCTATGCCCCATTCCCCTTCATCTCTTGCTGATGTCATCCCACCATCAGCTTGCATGTCAACCGGACTCTCAGCAGGAGGATAGTTCTCAGAAACTTGGTCCAACCTATTATAAAGCCTGCTGCTGCTAGGAAGCATATCAAATGCTGGCATATTTCCATCATGGTTGAGAGAAGATTCTACACTCATCTGCTGATGCTCAGCAAAGGCAGCTATTGCACAAGCAAGACCTCCAGAAGGAGATGATGATGAACCAGACATTGTGGCCACAACTGGTGAGATATAGCGATCTCCTGAAACATATTGTACTGAAGAAGCAGCATCTACAAAGTTAGAATTTCTCTGTCTGCTGTTGTCCTGTAACAGTCAAAGAATCAACAGTCAGATGGACCAAATTCATGAAAATGAGATCAAATAAAGTCCATATGTAATATAGCTAGGTAAAATGGAGATTCTATACAATATCAAGATGATGATAAAAAAATTTACAATTAAAGTAAGTTACAAGCTTTCCTCATTTTTTCTTTTCCGGTTAACTCAATGCACATGAAATTCTTACCATCCAAGGCACATGCTAGTGCAATAGATACCTAGGTGCTGTAAGAATAACAAAGTTTTCTGTCTATCATCTCAAAGTAAAATCAGTGTCTAACCTAATAACTATAGGCAATACATCGTGGATGAGAGAGACAAGGAACTTATTTAGGTCTGCAAACTAGAACACCAAAGAACAAATATCGGCACATAAAATCAAAGAGCAATACCAGACGGGAAATCTCAAAGCAATTTATAGCAGGTAGTACCTTGAATTCAGAACTTAAATGATGGACCTCTCCAAAAACAAAACAAACAAATTATGAGGAATTGGAAATTCAACATTTTAGCGAGACTACAAATGGAGCTATCAAATTGAGCAACAGCAAGGATTTCCAAACACAAATTGAGTAAACCATCTAGACATCATTAACAATCTCCATATCTGAGAAAAGTTCATTTATTCCACCCGGAAAATACCTTTCAACTTGTGCTAATATTAGCCATTGGGAAACTAGAATTTTTGAATGAAAACAATCCCAAAAAGGTCTGCTACTAATTTATATTTTAAACAAAAAAATAATAATAAGGGCCTTGATCAACAAAACTTCTCTAAACCAACAATCAGCTAACATCAACTACACACTACTTTTGAATGCATCTGATATGACAGGGATAAACAATCAAGATGTTTCTCTTTTCTGAGTGTATTTTTCTAGAGTATGCATCTGAGTCAACCACAAAGTAATTTTATGAATAAGGGCGAAATCATAAACAACTCAAAGCAAACGTCAAAAATGCCTTCTTAATGTGTTTGCAACATTTATCTGTACCAAAATATACTTCAAATTGTCATCTTTATGCCTAATATAACTCCTTGATCAAGGGACAGGAAAAAGTAAATGAAATAAGAACCAAAATAAGCAAATTAATACAATTAGTTGCTGAAGATGAAGGCTTTGAACAGCAAATTGATGAGTGATTTATTCTTGGCAAACTGATATTTGATAAGTAATGCCAATTTGAGACTATTTGTTTCTAAGGCTACAATGAGGCAAAATCAGAAAGAAACTTGTCAGCCACTCATTGCAAACAACTAATAAGGAAAGAATAGCAACGGTATATGCTAAGCCAGTCAACTTACAAGTCTTCCAAGAAAATATACCAGTATATCAAGGTAAAAATAAAACTAATCCTAAAACATAATATTGTCCAGGTGTGCCAGCTATATTGTGCAAAAAGAATCATTAGTATAAATTTCTACCAAAAGGCCTGCCTACCGGTACCGAAACTTATAACAGAGATACACAAAGTAAAGAATGCTGGAAGAGTTTGAAAAAATATTTCCCCACAACTGCCATTGTGAAACACAATGCTAGTAATTGAAGCGCACTGGATTCACATGGAACATTTGTATGATAAATTTTCATAAATGCAACCCCAACTTCCTTGCAAAAAACATACAGATAGACATCTTCCTCCTATGTACATAAAATTATTACTTTGCTTTTCAAAATAGCACACATTCCTTAGTCTACTAATGATACCATTGTAACTTATAAGAAAAAGAATAACAAAAGTAGAATGATAATACTTTATGAGTCAGATGATAAATTGATAACCAAGTAAACTTAAACAGATAGACTAGTCTGCCAAGCCCAGGTCCACTAACAGCCACAGAAAACCCCCTAACCCCCTACCTATCAACTAAAAATTTTTATTACTGGCTTACTTTACAATAGTGATTTTGCATATAGTTTGAAGACCAACCAAGATCAACTAATAAGAACCTTACCACAGGATATATTAAATTACACAGAATTATAGCTCACAGAAGGGTTATGTGGATCAATTAAAGTGGTATGATCTGCAGTGTTTCTATTTCAACATTGACTAGGCCCACAAATAAGATGGGGACTTCAAGAGTTACTTTACCCTTCTAAGTAAAACAATCTCATGAGATTTCAAATTTGAACAGAGCTGGATCTCAAAAGGTTCATGCTCTTACCAGGACTGCCAAAGAGAAAATACAAATTTCAAAAAGAACTTCCATTAAGAACCTTTCTTTCATAAATTAGATGCTAAAATTTAAGATTATTTCTGACATCATCCTATAATCCTCTCAGGAAAATAATATATATGCACACACCTATCTGATGCTCTAAGCTTAGCCAAGACAACTATGTTCAGTCTAGTTTATCCTCATAAAAGTACATGGATTTATTGAAGTTCAAATCAAATACAACGCCTTTGGCTTCTGTCAAGATGGAAGTTTACAGATTATTCACCATTATGAGTTATTTAGTTGGGCTATTCAAGTACATCTTCCCACAGCACAATTATGTAAACACCATTAAAAAGATCAAACATATTAATATGTGAAAAATAGCCTCTTTCTTTAACAACTAAAAAAAAAAAAAAAACTTTCAATGAAAGAATAGCAATAGTAAAAAGCATGCTTTACTTGAACTGACGAGTATGAGTTTCCCTATATCTGCTCAATGCTTAAATTCTGCAATTAGTTTCATACCTGAATTGACCGCAAAATTGCTTCCGTGACCATTATTTCCTCAAGATCTAGGTCCAACTCATCATCCCTGCAATTTAAGCATTTGAAACAAGATAGTGAAACAAGATCCAATCACAATTTTTCTGGAACATAAAATCAACAATGTATAACCTCGTTTAGGCCTGAGAGAGAGAGAGAGTAGGTACTTGTGCAGTGGAAAACAAAATATTGTCTCATCCTTTTCATTCAAAAGCAAATAAGACAGAAGTTCACCCCAATAAAATGCACCAAACATGATATCTTTCTTTTTTAATTACTTTCTCTATGCCATAACTCTTTCATAGAAAACAGGATTGTAATTAACAAACTATGAATGGTTGGCATCATTCTTTTGCCCCAACAGAAGCGGTTGTTACATCCACTGACCAGACTCCATTCTTTCACATTCAAAAAGAAAAGTAGAGGTTCACTGCTATGTACTATAATTATTTTGTAGATAATAGAACTTTCAGAACCAACTAAGAAGGATTGTATCATTCTTTGCAAAAAGTCAAGAAAGTCCAGTGCATCCGCTAACCACTTTGCGCCATCTAAGATAGATGAGCAGATTTTCTTCCTCCTTCCCAAAAAGAAAAAGTTACAACAACAAAAATAAACAAATAAGTCTCAGATATATGGATCACATATGCCACTGTAATTACAACGAGATTCTCAGTAATCTTAGTAAAATTAAGGTCTCTTTTATAGTTTCAGTCCATATCCTCTTTGAACTTCCTCTCATGACATGAGTATTGTCCATTAAATCACATGTTCTAATAACTAAGACCAATCTTATGACATGAATTTTGAGATTTTAATACAAATTAGACAATTTAACACGGATACCAACTAGCAACTATGCTCTATGCACCTTTTTTTTTTCTCATTAGATATGAACTGCAAATACTATCGAGGATGAAAAGCAAAACCCTTCCTACCTGTTTGTCCTAGGATGCGAGGGTTGTCTAATCATTGAGCCAGCCTGTGAATCTTGAGAAGAAACTATTTCCTCCTCATCAGAGGATCGAGCTGCAAATAAAAGAGAATATAAGGGAAAACTCCTCAAGATAGAAAAATGTCAAAGGAAATGAAGAATCAATAAATAAGAAGAAATGAAAAATCACAATAAATTGATACCTGCAACAGAACTGCATTGAACTTCCCCTGGTGAAACACCGGAGCTTGAAGAACTCAATTCTTGTCTTTCCTGCATTCTCCTTTCATCATCTTGAAGTTCCTGCTGCCTCATTCTAATTTGTGCTTCTAAGACACGTTGTTCTTCCTGAAAAATTTAAATAGCATAAACGAATATTGAATTCATTTTCTATCTAGTTAAAATCAGAAGCTTTACAACCTTTTTGTTTCAGAAAGAGGGAGTGAACTTACAATTTGCTCGATCCCTTTTTCCTCCTTTGTCTTCACACCTCGATACTCCACAGCATAGTTTGAGGTTTTACAGAAAGGACACCTAAAAATGTCAAGGAATGCAAACATTGGAATACAATTACATAGACAACAAATCAAAATTGAAAAGTTGTACAGTCAATTTCATCACTGTGAAGGATACTGGGTAGGACGGGTAGAATTCCGATTCTTCATCTGCAAAAAACACTCTGGTGCAAACCAAATGTGTCAAAATTTCATGCAACTGGTGATATTAGTAAGTATCAGCCAGAAAAATTCACATATAGTTTACCTGTGCAAATACTTTTCATGCAACATCTTGATCTGTTGAGACTTGGGTAACACTAAAATACAATGGGAAAAAGGGAATTCACATTGAGGTAATCAGAAGGTACTATATTCAACCACAACTAATTCAAAAGATCATTACACATGAAGTAACATTCAACAAAAAACCAGTAAACCAGTGAACGAAGAAGGCATCCAAATATGCAGTGATCGATAAAGCAAAAGGATGAAAGAGTATGAAATTTATACAAGAAAGGCACAGAAATGAGATTACAAACCAAAAAGCAAATTGGACATTCTTCAAGATCACAACAGCAATCTTCATCGCCAGGATAACATGGAGCAAGCTTCGATTCAAGTATCAGCTTTCTTAGCTTCTTGATATCCACATCTTTATGAACATACAACCCCTGTGGGCGCGTATACCTCTCGTCCAACACTTGCCTTCCCCTTCCCAACTTATTACCCATAAAAAAAATCTCAAATTTGTCTTCCCAAAATCGCTCTTCTTCTTCTTCTCCAAAATCAAAACCAACCAAAATAGAGAAGTAAACACAATCAGAACATTTTTTCAGAAAAAGAGATTTTTTTTCCAATTTGTTTGTCTATATTATCATTTTCTTTGATTTTTTTTTTTTAATGTTTTGATTTCTTTCCGTCGTTTGACGGAAACTTTTAGATAAAAGACAAACAAAATGAGAAAATGAATAACATTTTTTATTGGATAAAAAAAAGTTTTTAATTTCACAAATATTATTATATATTTATTATGTTATAATTAAAAATTTATCAAATTAATATAAGTGTAATACTATTATTTAATACTTAAATTGTTTGTTTACTCAAAATGACATATTTTAAAATTTATAAATAATAACTTTATATATTATGATAATCGGATAATTATATAATTAAATTTGAGTTTTTTTATGTACTATTAATTTATAAATTTTATATATTTTTAGTAAATAAGATCATAATATCTCATTAATAAATAATTTTTTTAAATATTAATTTTTATATATTAATTTTAAAATTTAATATTTACTTAGTAATGAGATATCATTATTTAATATATTAATAATATATAAAATTTATATATTGATAATATATTAAATATAATTTTATTAAATATTTAGATTTTTTTTACATATTTATTAAATAAATTTGTTTTATTTATATATAATTTTCTAATTTATGAAATATTTATACTCGTACTTGAGTCAAATATTTATATATATATATTTGTTGGTATTAATTTTTTTTTCTTTTTTAAATGTGGTACAATTTGTATGAAGAGGATGTGGGGAAGATGGGGATTATCAAGAAATGGGTGGAGCAGTGGAGGAGAGAAGAATCAATCATCACCGTCCCACCAATCACGTTTAATTCACCAAAGCATTCTTTTCTTCCTCACTCGCTCCCTGTCACGCGTCTTTTTCAAACGCCTTTTTCTTCATAATCCAAATTTATAGAAAAGTGTTAATGACATATGTAAAACGGTGAAAAAAAATCAGCAAAAGATTCAAAATGGAAGTGATTTGTTTGGTTTGAATTGATTTTTTTTTTGTTGATTCTTTTTAAGTATAAATACTAAATATTTTACTAAATTTAGATCAAATTTTAGATAAAAGATGAAATATTGAAAATATTAAAATCATATATCATTTATAATATTATATTATAATATAAATAAAAATATGATAAGATTTGTTTACATTGATATTTAAGTGAATAACTTATATTATTGATATGTAAAATAATTTTAAATAATTTTATTCATTAATTATTCAAATTTTAAAATTTATATTTATCAAAATCTTTCAAAGTATACAAATTTTATCCTATTTTAAATCTAAAAAATTTTTGGCATACCTCACTCTACCCATGAATATGAAATACAAAATTTAAATAATTTTTAAAAGTTAAATTCCTATATATTAGAAATCATAAAAATTCACGCTATATAAATCAATATTCACATAAATTTAAATAAATAAAGTTTAGGGTTGAATCATTGTTATTTATCAATTTTTTTGTCTTTATTTTTTTATGATTTAAAATAAAAAAAATATTTTATCTCAATTTAAAATTATACAATATCTTTTATTTTAATTTAAAATTAAACTTAGATAAATTACATTTGTAAAACTTTAAAAATTTTTAAAATTAAATAATTATCAAATATATATCTAGAATTTATTCTCACAATCAATATTTTTTTTATAAAGATAGAGCAATCAAATTTTCGTTACAAAAATTTGGTATTATATAGATTCAAAATCAAATATGAAAGTCTTTATGATATATCATATGCTAGTTTACATACTAAAATAATATATATTTTTAAGAATATATATAATTGTGAATAAAAGATTGACTTTCTCATTAAAATTTGTATGTAATTTTACTTTTATAATTCAAAACTTTTATAATACTTATTTGGATTCTTTCATAAAAATTTATATATAGATGATTTTTGTAATTTTAAATAACAAATTATAGATGATTACAAATATTTTTATTTATTTATATATATAATATAAAAATTAGTATAAATTAAAATTATAAATTATGAAAAATACAATAAAAAACTATGTGCATGGCATGGATAAAAAAAAAACTAGTTAAGTTATATATTTTTATTAGTTGTTATATATTTTACTTTTTTATAAAATAAAAATAATTATTTTATGTTTAAATTTATTTAAATATGTTAACAACTGTATTAAAATAATATAAAATTTTAAAATTTAAAATTCAATTAATCAAATTAATAAAATATGATTCAAATTGGATTCTTTTCAAAGAAATTCAGTTTCAGATAAATTTTTTAAAATTTATAATATTATATATTATTCGAATAAATAAACTGAAATCGAGTTGAATCATTATCACCTCTAATATATAGTTTCCTCAACTAAAAAAAAATTAATTTTGTTTATTTTTTATTTGTATAAAACTAAAATTTATTTATTTTTTCAAATAAAAATATTTTAAAAAATTTATTCTTATTTTTAAAATATAACTTTATAGGCTTTTTATATTATATTATATTATATTATGATATTACATCTATCATATTAAAGAATTTTGTAAATTATAAGAGTCAAATATGACATTAAAGATGCATATGTTTCCTTTTTCAAATAATTTTTATTTTCATATTATATTTTTGAATGATGAAATAAATAAATAAATGTGTCTAATTTTTTTTTATCAAATCAATACGTCTAATTTTATATATTAAGAACTCAACAACTTTATATTTCAAAATTTTACACGTGTTTAACTCAAATTATATTTCTATTATTATTCGATAATTAATACACCCATTAAACATGAAATATAATAAGCACATAAATGGCTCTTACATCAAAAGTCATTACTTAAGATTTTTTTCGGAAGCTAAAAATCTAGAAATAGAAAAAATTTTCAATTCCAAAATCAGGATAAGATCAAATTATGAGAGTCGTGCATTCAAATTGGTTTTCTTTCAAGTATATATTTTTAGTTAACACATGAATTAAATTGATAAAAATAAATATTTTTTTATCAAAAGCTCCATGGACAAAAGTGGGTAACTAATTATTCTCAAAAGCAAAATGGATGGGCCATAAATAGTGGATGATTTTATGGAGATCTACCAGAGAGGGTAGACCATAATGTACTAACTCCCATTCAATTGGCTGACCAAAAATCTTCAATATCTGACTCATGTCTTTGCTTAGCTTCGTCACGTAAAAAAGTTATTCAATTACAATTCATTCACATGTCAACTTTATCCATTCATGCATTCTTAACTAAGCAACCACTATTAAAGGCAAACACTTGGTTTAATATCTCAGCTCAAATTAAGGAAGATAGTTGAACAGAGTTGGTTTTTTTTTTTTTTTTATAACAGTACTTTATATATTATTAGATGTAACTATTTGTATATCTATACGATGTTTGTTTATATTAAATAATCAAGTTCATATACTTTTTCATTATAATTTCTTGTATTTATTTTTCAAAATTAATAAATTTGATGTCACTCGATATGATAATAGGAAATAGGAACCAAAGGACTTTTCATGTCTAGAAAGGATTTCAAATTGGACCCCCGATCAAATTGACACCACCAAATTGGGCCATTTTAACCGTAAGCAGCGTTAAGAAAAGCCGAATTATAAAGGCCTTTATGCAATGAACTATTCAGAATTCGAATTTCAATGGCCGATCTTATCTCGTAGTGGTTCTTTCTTCCAAAGCTGTGTTGTTTTGTTGTGGAATCAATTTAAAGCATTTTTCTGGGGTTAGAGTGAATTATGTAGTAATTTTAAACAATTTGTTCTGTTATAGTACAAAAAATTCAAGATCTGAAGAAATTGATAAAAAAAAAAAATGTAAATGCTACAGGTGAAATTCCAGCTTTATTGAATTCAATTGGGACCGTCAATCATTATAAATTGTAAAAAATAAATAATTTTTTAATTTTCTAGAGAGTCAATGATTGCGGTTGCTGACACTTAATTTTTTTTCAACTGCTTTTCTCAATTTATTAAGATGTTGTATCTATTTTATTCATAGCTTTGTTCTTTAGTCTCTGTCTATAGGTTAAACAATATCCAATTATCTGTAGATGTGGTTCATGTTGTTTTGCAATTCTACATTTATCAATTTGCATTTGAAAAAAAAAAAAGGAAAACTATTGACGAATTGCCATATCGGTGATATTTGTGGTGTGATGAGATGGCTAATATCAAAATTTTCAAAATTTTCTGCCATGTTAACTTGTTCCACAAAGGAAGCCAAAGGAAACTTACATTTAGATAGTGTCTTAGTCTTTAGTTTAAGATAAGATGTATGTTTCAATTTCAAACATGTTAGCTGTTACTAATTATGATCACTAGTTGAACAAGTAACCCAGGAGGTAACCACGAAAGGCTTGCTTCTAGTACAAGGCAATTGCTGACAAAATTTTTTTAGACTTTTGCCGCAGTGATGATCACATATATACTTCCTATCAAAAGGAAATCTAATATGCAAATTAAAATATTAATATTTTTTTTAATATTTGGGTTTGACAAAAATTAAAATTTGATAATTAAAATTAAAAATTCAATATTTTATGGATGACAGATGACATGAATTTTGGCCAAGTTTCATTTCTACATTTATTTTGCAAATTTCATGCGCTTATTTTGCACAACGTTCATTGTCTGGATTTTTCAATTCTGCTGTCAATTTTTTAAGCTAGTGGTACGGGCTTACATTTTCAGCTTCTGGTATTTAATCCTTTTTCAGGATTCCAAACAACGTCCCTATCATTAACCAGTGGAGCTGATGAACGATTATCAATCAATTCATATATGAAACACTGGGAGATGCGGCCCCATAATTTATAATCACATGACAAAGGGCAGGAAAGAGAGGAATTAGAGACAAAGGGAGAACAACAGATCAAATAACTCTATAATTTATTAGAATATACATAGGAATATAAAAGATACAGGATAAAAAATTTATAATTATTTATAAAATAAAACTTCATAGGCTTTTTTAATTTTTTATTTTCAAAAATAAAAACTTTTTATATTTTTAAAAAGTATGATACGTAAATTCTATATCAATATCAACTGTGCTATTTATGCTGATATAGCTATTTCGAGTTGATGAAACATTTCATGCTATATCATTATGCTACATATGAAGCTAGTCTAGCTATTTCAGTTAACGGTGTTAATTTATAATATTATATTATATTATATTATTATATTATAATATTAAATATATCATATTAAAGAATTTTGTAAATTATAAAAGTCAAATTATATATGTTTGCTTTTTGAAATAACTTTTATTCTCATTTTATCTCTTCTACGATGAAATAAATAAATAAATATGTTATTTTTTTTGTTAAATCAATGTGTCTAATTTTGTGATAGAAAAAATTTGAAAGTAGATAGATTATTCAGTTTTTCAGATCAAAATAAAATGTGTTGTACCTAATAACTTAAGATAAGTAGTTATAAATCATACATTCGAGATGATCTCAATAAGTGATTATTGATAAGATTTAAACACAAAATCTTTTCGTCGAAAAAGACGAATCTTAATTTATTGAATCAATTACTTATTGGTACTGTGTCTAATTTTAAACATTAAAGAACTTGACAACTTTATATTTCTAAATTTTACATGTATGGACTCAAATTATATTTCTATTATTATTCGATAATTAATACACCCATTAAATATGAAAAATAATAAGCACATAAATGGCTCTTACATCAAAAGTCATTATAATATATAATCTTAATGTGTGTCATTTTCATTTATATCATTATATATAGATCATATCCAAAATTGTAGATCTATATATTATCTATTATTAGGGCTTAAAGTGGCATGTGAAAATATCTAAATTTGACTCTTCTTTGCACTTTCTAGTTTCTACTCATCTGTCTTAGAATACAAAATCGCTTTTAATTTTTCCAAATGAGAAGAACCCTCCAAATGAAATTTTGGACCAAAGAAAATGTAATATTTTTTTGATAAATAATCAAGTTCATATACTTTTTATTATAATTTCTTGTATTTATTTTTCAAAAAATACTTACCACTGAATGAATTTCATGCCAAGAAAGGATTTCAAATTGGCACAACCAAATTGGGCCATTTTAACAGTAAGCAACGTTAAGAAAGGGCGAATTGTAAAGCCTTTATACAATGAACTATTCAGACTTCGAAATTCAATGGCCGATCTTTTCCGGTTAGTGGTTCTTTCTTCCAAAGCTGCATCGTTTTGTTGCGGCATCAATTTAAAACATTTTTTTGGGATTAAAAGTGCAATATGTACGTAATTTTAAACAATTTGTTCTGTTATAGTACAAAAAATTCAAGATCTAGAGAATTAATAAGGAAAAATTGTAAATGCTACAGATGAAGTTCCAGCTTTATTGAATTCAATTCAGAGCGTCAACCATTACAAATTGTAAAAAATAAATAATTTTTTAATTTTCTAGAGAGTCAATGATTGCGGTTGCTGACACTTAATTTTTTTCCAACTGCTTTTCTCAATTTATTAAGATTTTGTATCCATTTTTATTCTTAGCTTTGTTCTTCAGTCTCTCTCTATAGGTTAAACTATATCCAATTATCTGTGGTTCATGTTGTTTTGCAATTCTACATATATCAATTTGCATTTGAAAAAAAAAAAAAAAAGGAAAACTATTGACGAATTACCGTATTGGTGATATCGTGGTGTGATGAGATGCCAATATAAAAAATTTCAAAATTTTCTGCCATGTTAACTTGGTCCACAAAGGAAGCCAAAGCAAACTTACATTTAGATAGTGTCTTAGTCTCTAGTTTAAGATAAGATAGATATATGTTTCAATTTCAAACATGTTACCAGTTGAACAAGCAACCCATGAAGTAACACGAAAGGCTTGCTTCTAGTACAAGGCAATTTCTGACAAACTTTTTGACTTTTGCAGCAGTAATTATTACATATATACTTCCTATCGAAAGGAAATCTGCAAATTAAAAATATTATTATCATTTTTTTTTTACAATGGAGGTTGATAAAAATTAAATTTTAATAATTGAAATTAAAAGTTTAGTGTTCTGATGACAGATGACATGATTTTTGGCTAAGTTTCGTTTCTATATTTATTTTTGCAAATTTCATGAGTTTATTTTCGCCCAATATTCATTGTCTGGATTTTCCAGGATTCTGCTGTCAAATTTTTAAGCTACTGGTACAGGCTTACAGTTTCAGCTTCTGGTATTTAGCCCTTTTCCAGGATTCCAAACAACCTTCCTATCATTAACAGTTGAGCTGATGAACGATTATCAATCAATTCATATATGAAATACTGGGAGATGCAGCCCCCATAATTTATAATCACATGACAAAGGGCAGGAAAGAGAGAAATTAGAGAGAAAAAGAGAACAAGAGATCAAATAACTGTATAATTTATTAGAATATACATAGGAATATATAGGATACAGGATAAAAAATAATGAATGAATAAGTGGCCATATATTCAAGCTGGCGCTGTAATTTAGCCCTCCCCACATGAAAATATAGTTGAATGTAATTGAAGTTACTCAGTCCATATTCCATAATAAATCATCCACCGGAGGCATCTCCTTTAGCAACCTTTCGAATTCCCTGAACGACAAATTTTTCATCAAAACTGAATCGCCTCTAGAGCTGCCAACCCCACCTGGATTCCCTTCTTTCTTGTTTATCTGCTCGTGGTAAAACCGGCTTCTAGGCTTCGATGGATTGCTCGTAACTCTTGAATCTTTACCGGTTAGCTCTTGTACCACTGACTTAAAGCTTGTAGCATCTGTCTCTACATACTTGGTGTTGATGATCACAATCTTCATTGGCTCTCTACCACTTGCCATATCAAAATTGCACGAGCCAACAAGTGTAAACTCAGAGTTTTTTAGCTTGAATTGCACAATTAGGCACTCGAAATTTTCGTATGTACGAAACTAAAATTGTTATATTGAACAAAGATTGAAATGAAAACAATCTAATTGCTTTTGTCCTATGATTTGGGTAGTTTCTGCACATCCACTTATATAGAAGTGGATTACCGAAAGAAGAAAGAGAGAATGGAAACTAGTACGATGGTTGAAATCTAAAGGAAGAATTGAGAGAGATGAGATTGTTTGACCGCTATGCTTTCTAAGCAGTCTAGAAGGACCAAAATTTGAAAAAAAAAAAAAAATTGATTGGGTCAAAAGTATATGTGTTTATTAATTCAACTGCACATGACAGAAAATTGCCGCTGAAATGCAATGTATGAATTATACATGTAGTCAGTCAAACCCACGTGTATGCAATTGTTGGCGCTGCGCGCTTGACATGACCCGAATCTTCGTCTCCAATTCTGAGGCTGACGAATGAAAAATACTTAGGAGTTCAGAGCAACGATTATCACGTCGTTTAAATATTTATGCCAATTAATATTTCGTAAAAAGATTGATTATCGGACTGATTAAGTCATAAATATTGGTCGTGATTGGCGTCCACTTTGATAATGTGATTATGATTGACCAGTATGATACCATTGACTGCAATTGCAATTGTAAAAGCAAATTTTTTGCTGTTTAAAATTGAGAATAAATTCATTTTATCTAATCATTTACATAGAGATTTCGGTTAAGAGTAGATTATAATTTAAAAAATATATATATTTAATGGTGTATGATTTGACCTCAACCCATTTGAATTTCATATTTTACACAATAATATCTATATTTTCTGGATGATTTTTATTTTTATTTTTTTGGAAGGAGATGACTTTATCGTATGGTTATTAGTAAAAAAAGTATATGAATTGAATTCACACGTTTTTAATATTTTTTTATGTTAATAGTGGAAAATATTATAGGTATAAATAAATTAAATTAACCAAACAAATTAAGTAATTATATGTAGCTAGATAAATCATATAAATCCAACTTAAAATTTAATCAATTAATGAGATTTGAACTTAAAATATCAAAATTTTATTGTCTTTTCTTTTCTATTAATATAAGATCTCATTAGCTTTTTAGGTTTAGTTTTACTTTAAGATGTTTGGTTTCAAATAATTATATATAATGAGAGCTTACCACTTATAATTATTGCATTAAAATTAATGAATCGTAATTTTGAATTGTGTAATATCTCCAAAATATTATATGAATCTTATAGTCTAATTATATTTAAAAGTTGAATTTTTATATAGTTCTTTATCATGATTAAATAATGTAAAATTATAATAAAAAATTACATGTGAGTGATGCTTCCATAACATAATTTATATACATGTTTATTTGGGATATAAAGTCCAATTCTTTTATTTTATTTTGTTTCTTAATTATAAAATTTAGAAAAATTACGGTCATGAGTCTTAATTAAACATTTAATTAGAGTATCATATGTTGACAAGCCCATAAGAATTCCTTGAAAACAAATATTAGTAAGAAAGTCAACATCGCTATGCAAAGTAGTTTTAGTATAGCCAACTTTTAGGAAGGAGAAAAAAAAAAGATCAATAATATATACGACCGCAAATCTTTGACTGATGCTTTGGATAATGATGGCCGTAGAGACTTCCGTTATGAAAAGGTCTCTTTTGGCTAGAAGCTCTAACTGTTTTTTTTTTTTTTTGCAATAATTATTTTTTCAAATATATGACTAATCATAGTTGAAATTTAGAGTATAACGAAAATTACTCAAATATTTAAAGAGTTTTTCTTTGATACAGATGGAGAGCGGTATGAGTGTATGACTTGATTTTGCACCTTATCAACATTAATTTTTTAAAACTAGATTTTTACAATCAAGGCAATTTCGCACCTTATCATCAATCATCAAATTAATATTTTATCAACAAATTAAATACTTATATAAATATTTTTTATAAAAAAATTTCTTTTAAATAAAAAGCCTTATCCTTCAATTAAAATCTCTGCTCAAATAATTTTGAACTGGCAAATAACATAAACATAAGTATGTTTATTTATTTAATTACTAGATTGCGATCCAAGGTTCTGAATAATTTTACCCATTTAATATGGGTATTTACATCTAAATTAGTTTTTTTTTTCTCAAAATTATATTCAAACATTTGTCATAAAAAATAAACTTTTTTGAAAGAAAAAAAATGATATGTCTTCGTTTTAGATCATTTTTATCTGCAAAAATATTTATAATTTTTGTAATTTTTAAACATGTTAAAAGATTTTCATAATTAAATAATTTTTTAAATAAAGTTATTAGGTAAACAATTAAAATTATTTATTATGAAGATAAAATTTATAGTTCAGATTTTTAATTTTTAAGAACATATCTCTAAATTGATTATATTTTTAATTATAATTTAAATAATTTTGATATCTAAATAAATTTAAGATACTCTATTTTGTAACTATAAGAAGTCATCATACCCTTTTAAAAAAAATTATTTTATGTATCATTCAAAAAATTATCCCCGTAAAATTTTATATGATAAATCTTATTGGGTACATATACATATATATATATATATATGTGATTTGTTTTGGACGGCATGCTCTAATTCATTTACATTTCTTTCAAAGAGTTTTCAATGACAGATTTTCAAAGCTTTTGCTAAATCATGAATGGATGTCCGAATCCTTGATGAATATTTAGTGAGTTTCCCAACTCCCACTATTTTAGCTCAAAGGACACGCGTTTTTTAGGGCTGACCTAATTGTATTAAAGTATTGCATTAATTAAAGTCCAGGTCTCGCAAACTGCCCCTTTGGCCACAATAAATTGTCTAATTTGGGGTGAATGAAATTAATAGTTTTAATTAACAAAGAAGAATATTATTATTATTATTATTATTTTTTTTAAAATGAAATTATTATTAATATTATATTTTTGGTAAAAAAATTATAATTTATTGATAAAAAAAATATTACAAATACTAAATTTTGAATCATAAATATGTTGAATGTGACATATTAAAAGAAAATTATAAAAACTAATTAAATTAAAATTAAAATTATTATTAATATTCTTATTTTTATGTAAAAAAATTATTTATGCTTAGATTTAAATTTGAATTTATTAAATATTACGTAATTATATGATTAAATTAAATTGAATTTTAGATTTAAATTATTATTAATAATATTATTTTAAGGAAGATCGGGACTTGCCAACAATGCTACGACCGATTTTCATCGAGAAGCTTCTAGTTAAAAAAATAAAATTTCTTTTTGTCATTGTGTTTTGTACATGTTGAGGAAAAGGAGGAAGAAAGAAAAGGCGACGATAATTGCATATCGTCGCGTGTTCAAATTTAGAAAGGGTCAATTGTACTAGTATTACTATTACCGACAGTGAACCTGTTCAAAGCCTTCCTCTACTTCACCTTAAAGCGTTCTTACTTTTTCCTTATGAAGGTATCATGCTCGTTATTAATTTAAGCCTCGTTTGAGAGGGGAGGCGATACAATGAGTCCTAAATCCAATCACGTTTAGAGGATCTTAACGGTGAGAAGTTACTTCCACTGCATTGAGACTTGCACTTTCCAGTTGACTCCTTAGAAATTTTGGACCTAAAGCCCAATTCCCTTAGAAACTACTTGGTTCAAATGAGAGATGGTATATTTCCACAGCAGCTCAACGGCAGGACAGCATTTTATCCGTAATTTTTATTATAATTTGGTAATTAGCAAATCATAATTAATAATTATAGAAAAGTTCATTTGCAAATATAGATTTTACACATTAGTTATGTAGATCTTATATAATTTTAAATTTTAATTAATTAATTATAATATAATTATTGTAAGTGATATTATGAGAGATTGACACCATCTAACAAAGACATAATCAATTGAAAGATTAAAATCTCTAATGTTTGTCAATCATTTATAATAAGACAGACAAGTAAGGATGCAATAGGTATAATATCTGATATTATTATCTTATCCTCTTTTTTTTTTTCATTTTTCTTCTAACATATCATATTAACTTGATCATAAAAAAATCTTCGAAAAACCTTTGATGTTCCTCTTTATATAGGTCGAGCCGACCACGTTAGAGGCCCAATCTAATACTTCTTGAATAAGCAAACCAGTTAAATACATTAAGATATAACGTTTGAATGAAATCTTAATTAATGATATATTATTTAATTTGATATAATTTAAGATCAAATGTTTTCAAAATTGCTCAAAGAAAAATTTTTAGACAGAAATACGTTACATTCACCTTTAATAGCTTGATATATTGAAATGTACTCCTGACATGTTATTTTTGCACATGTGGCATGACAAGTGGTGTGACAAAGGGTAAACACACTGTAAACCCTAAGTCAAAATTAAAATTCAAAAAGAATTCAAACAAAAAACTAAACATAAACTAATTCTATTAATAATCTTGAGAAACAAATAGAAATTAATACTAAAAAAAAAAAAAACAAAAGCAACTCGAACCCAAAACAGAACGTAGATATAGAAGCAAAAGAAGTTAAATTGAATAAAAAATTAAAAAATTTATAAAGGAAACTTTCAAGGTTGTTTTTTAACATAAATTAAAAAAAAAAAAAGAGAAACCGAAAAAACACTAAATAAATAGAGAGAAATCACAAAAATGAATAGAAAGGTGGTGCTGTTGAATCACCCTAAATTTATGAAAAAAAAAAAAAAATCCTATGTCTTCTACTCTCTCTTTGTTTTTCTTTGTCAAAATATAATCAATTTCTAGAAAATAAAAAGAAAACATGATAACACCCAAATATCAAATCTCAGAATCCAAAATTAAAAAAATCAACTTGAGAGAGAAAGAAAATATACCAATTTTTTTCTCTTTGTAAAGGATTAAATCACCCATGAGCTGTTTTTTTTTTTTCAAATCTAATCATTTAAATCCCACATAATCCGACCAATCATGTAAAATCACCAACAAATTTCTTTTAACTTAAAATAATTCAACTTTAAAACTATATATAATTCCTTAAAAAAATTAACAACTGATTTTTTTTTCTATTCTAAGTTTGAATCTATCCAATAAAAACTCTTTTTTTTTTTTGGTTTTTTTTCTTAGTTTGAGCCTATCTAATAAAAGATTTGCAATGAGTAAAGAAACCGTAATTGAGAAGCCAAAGCAAAAACAAAAAAATGGGAATTGGTGTTGGTT